TGTCAGAAAACATTGCTAGGGGTATTTTTTTAAGGTAAAGCATTGTGTCCTAAACAAGCGTATTGCACGAAAAGTGGTGTGTTATGGAAGAACATCATTTTGTATATAGTAGCTGGCAAGATTTAGACTCTTTACTCATGTGAAAGTTATTATCCTACTTAGGAGGTTTAATGGTGCAAATGCTTGGGAACAAAATACTTCAAAGTAGCTACATTAAAAAGAACGATTATGCATGATTATTAATTATTATCAATCATGGTGGTGACATGGTATTGATTTAGAGGGGCAGCTTGTGGTCACTGAGTTGTCCATGAATTCCTAAATATACCAAAGTATTAAAGAGTCAAATGTGAGGCCATCTGTCCGACAACTAAAGCTTCACCAAAACTGAGGTCGTGCAAAAGGACAATGAACCCAGTGAACTCATCCACAGCAACAAATCTACAAGATAATGGCTGAAAAGAAGAGAATCAATGACAAAGGCCAGACCTCAACCTGACTGAAATACTGTAGCAATATCTTAAGAGAACTAATGCCTCCAGACTTCAGTAAACTGAAGCAACACTATAAAGAAGAGTGGGGCAACATTTCCACACAGTGAAGACTCTGATAAACTCATACAGAAACCAGTTGCTGCTATTTCATGTGTTTTTCTGAGGTAGTATTTTCCTGATTTTAAGACCGGACAGATGATTATATTTATATCCTGATAAGTAAACCATTTGAATCCTTAACTAGTTAAGGAACCACGTATGCTGCAACACAGGAAAGGCCTTGCTTATTACAGAAAATTGTCAAACCACATTCTGCATTTATTCCAATAGCATGGCTCCATACTAAAGATAACATTTCATATATCTCCCTTTGGGCATCAATGCTTTTAAGCTTTTTAGCTGTGGGTGAACATAGGTTATTAATGTTAAGATTGTGAGTCATGTGGGTTATGAAGTCATTTCTTTTACTGCAAAGATCTGACAGACTGTGGAGGGATAGTACACTAACTAGTGCAACACTGCCACCTCATGTTTCAGATTTGCTATCGATCCAAAAGAGCTTTTTTTTTTTTTACTAACGATTGTAAACACTCCTACTTATTCATTTAGCTGATATTTATTGAGCAGAGGCTGTTACAAACTTATAAATAATTATAATAACAAGGTTTATGCTTCATACACTTTTTTCAGTCAACTCAAGTCAAGTCAATCTTAGACAGAGTTCGAGTAGGCATTTATCAGATCCACAATAAACTGAAAGAAAATGTGATGCATAGTTTGATGCATACCGCCTGGGTCTCCAGCTTTGGAAACTTTGCATGTTGTGAACAGTCTTTGAATCAAACAAGCAATAAATGAAAACTAATTTTGAGCAGATATCATGTTTAACTTTAGATGATTAAGCGTATATTTTCTACAAGTTTACGTCAGGATTGATAAAGTTCTCATTGTAACCTTCTTGATTAATTTATTGGGGTTTCAGTCACCCGTTCATTAAAACTTCTCGCACTTCCCTCTCAGGGGGAGTTCAGTTGGTGCACACCCACCTCTGATGAAATCCATTCCTGGTGTAACTTCCACATGCTACACAGTTCAGTTTATGACATAAATTTGGGTGTAGCACCAGCTATGCACCAATACACCCCATACAGTCTCTTTCTACATCACTGGCCAATGACTCTTACATGCCTTTATTGTATCCTCTGGTCAGTTTTGATCTGGGCCAACTATAAGAGAAGGACCACATCCTCCATTCAACTCACTTCTATGTGAGGCGCACTTTGGAAGGGATACATTTTTTTAAGTCCCAGGCTCTCCCTTTTTGAAATAAGACTAAAATGCCTTTATTTGCACAGCAAGTTTAAAAGAAACACATTTTGGCACACAGGTCTTCAACAGGGAATAAAACATGAGTCAATGAACAATGAATGTTTCCTGAATAGGTGGAATACCACTTAATGTTTCAGAGAAGAGTGTATTTGATATCTAAAAACACTTATTTTGGAGTAAAATATCTATTATTACAGGATATCATGTTCAGTTTTGCCAAACACAAACAGACGTGGATTTAAAAATAAATAAAATTTTAAAAACTCGTGCAAACTTCAAAGTGTGTGTTCAAAGCAGTGGTATGAAACCTTTCATGTGGGATTTCAATGAGTTTCCGACACTCACTGAAATTGCGGCTCAGATTTGAAGCAGGAACCTTCTTGTTATGAGGCAACAGAGCAATCCACTGAATCACAGTCCTGTCACAGATCTTGTGATCCTTGTGTCAAGTAACCCTCTGACCTCTGTTCCATGCATTATTTGCAGTGTATATGACCACACCTGTGCTGCTTTATTCTTACACTGTTTGGAACAATCCTTAAGAAAATGATAGGTTGATGTCTTCAAGGGAACCTGGACAAATTTAGTGGGAACACTGAAGACGGTGCCAAGTTACCCCTTGAACCTTTGTCCTATATTATCTATTGTATATCTCTATCTATCTATATACAGAGGTAGTACAAATTGGGATTCCCTAAAGCCACCATCCTCCTTGATCTGACTCATGCCAATGGATCTGAAGCATTCTGATTACATTTAGCACCTATACAGCAGTATATTTTCATATAATTTGGATCACATTAGGGAAAGTAATCAAATTCCAAGCCAGAGAATGACACTTGCGGTGTTTTTACTGTGGTTTGGTATAAAAACTGTTCCAAATTGACTAAAAAAAAAAAATGTAGGGTCCAATTATTTTAACTATTTTATACAGCGAGTGAGTGACAATAGTGCACCCTTGTGGTAAAAAGGGTGATTTCAACAAAATCAGCCTCTGACCTCAGTGCTACTGCCACTCCGTGGTAACAAAAAGAAAAATTGATAAATAACAGTGGGTGCTACCATTCAGTCTACCAGGTCGAGGTTACCGAGATTTAAACTCCTCAGAGATCTGTAGTAGATGCACCTATGGTATCAATGTGAAAATCCCAGATCCCAGCTTTCTCAAGTTATCACATTCAAACTTAGGTGTTCATGCTGCCCTGGGTGACAAGACCGCATCAGCATTTTGCTGAGGGGTAACGAATATATCTGAGAGGATTAAATAAACTTAGTTACTCATGAAGGCCTTGCTGATACTAAATAACAGAACTGAAAACCTGCTACTGATATTCAAGTGAACTTTAAGACGAAAGCAGGCAGATATGTAACAAGGCCAATGTGAACAGAAATCTTTGTCAGATAAAGCTTTAGAGCATTTTTGTTCATTAGTTATTGACTTCTGTGTTCACATTTTAGATATACAGGGAGTGCAGAATTATTAGGCAAATGAGTATTTTGTCCACATCATCCTCTTCATGCACGTTGTCTTACTCCAAGCTGTATAGGCTCGAAAGCCTACTACCAATTAAGCATATTAGGTGATGTGCATCTCTGTAATGAGAAGGGGTGTGGTCTAATGACATCAACACCCTATATCAGGTGTGCATAATTATTAGGCAACGTCCTTTCCTTTGGCAAAATGGGTCAAAAGAAGGACTTGACAGGCTCAGAAAAGTCAAAAATAGTGAGATATCTTGCAGAGGGATGCAGCAGTCTCAAAATTGCAAAGCTTCTGAAGCGTGATCATCGAACAATCAAGCGTTTCATTCAAAATAGTCAACAGGGTCGCAAGAAGCGTGTGGAAAAACCAAGGCGCAAAATAACTGCCCATGAACTGAGAAAAGTCAAGCGTGCAGCTGCCAAGATGCCACTTGCCACCAGTTTGGCCATATTTCAGAGCTGCAACATCACTGGAGTGCCCAAAAGCACAAGGTGTGCAATACTCAGAGACATGGCCAAGGTAAGAAAGGCTGAAAGACGACCACCACTGAACAAGACACACAAGCTGAAACGTCAAGACTGGGCCAAGAAATATCTCAAGACTGGTTTTTCTAAGGTTTTATGGACTGATGAAATGAGAGTGAGTCTTGATGGGCCAGATGGATGGGCCCGTGGCTGGATTGGTAAAGGGCAGAGAGCTCCAGTCCGACTCAGACGCCAGCAAGGTGGAGGTGGAGTACTGGTTTGGGCTGGTATCATCAAAGATGAGCTTGTGGGGCCTTTTCGGGTTGAGGATGGAGTCAAGCTCAACTCCCAGTCCTACTGCCAGTTTCTGGAAGACACCTTCTTCAAGCAGTGGTACAGGAAGAAGTCTGCATCCTTCAAGAAAAACATGATTTTCATGCAGGACAATGCTCCATCACACGCGTCCAAGTACTCCACAGCGTGGCTGGCAAGAAAGGGTATAAAAGAAGAAAAACTAATGACATGGCCTCCTTGTTCACCTGATCTGAACCCCATTGAGAACCTGTGGTCCATCATCAAATGTGAGATTTACAAGGAGGGAAAACAGTACACCTCTCTGAACAGTGTCTGGGAGGCTGTGGTTGCTGCTGCACGCAATGTTGATGGTGAACAGATCAAAACACTGACAGAATCCATGGATGGCAGGCTTTTGAGTGTCCTTGCAAAGAAAGGTGGCTATATTGGTCGCTGATTTGTTTTTGTTTTGTTTTTGAATGTCAGAAATGTATATTTGTGAATGTGGAGATGTTATATTGGTTTCACTGGTAAAAATAAATAATTGAAATGGGTATATATTTGTTTTTTGTTAAGTTGCCTAATAATTATGCACAGTAATAGTCACCTGCACACACAGATATCCCCCTAAAATAGCTAAAACTAAAAACAAACTAAAAACTACTTCCAAAAACATTCAGCTTTGATATTAATGAGTTTTTTGGGTTCATTGAGAACATGGTTGTTGTTCAATAATAAAATTATTCCTCAAAAATACAACTTGCCTAATAATTCTGCACTCCCTGTAATTACACACTAAAGGCAGTTGTAGGAGCACTCAATTTATGCAGCTTACTGATTTTAAATGCTGAGAAAATAATAAAAGAATATGAACTTTTTAGATAACACGATCGTTTTGAATTACAGATGGCAAAAAAAAATTGAAAGAACTCACAATTGATTTGTGAAATTGATTTATTTGCTCTCTGGTGACTCACAAGTCAATCCAAGACAGCAGAATACTGAACAACTTCCTGAAATAAAGCTGCACTGGTATTTATTAAATCAACCACACTAAAGACCAGTTTATAACAGAGGCAGGAAACACATGTTTAAGCTTTAAAACGGTGCTTGTTGTGCGTGTTTTTAGTTTGTAAGACCAGTGCTAATAATGAAAGGGTAACAGTTGTAAAGACATTTGTAGGCAGATGAAAGAGGTTGCAAGTAATAGTCTTGCAGCCACCTGTCATGACGGGTTAGTTCAGATCTTTCCAGGGAAACTTCCGTTTTCTATCTGCTCATCCCATTTAGAAACCTGCAGGAGACATTAAAGAAAACATGAGGCTTAAGTGTAACTTACGCCTACCAGCAGCAGGAGATTCTTAGCCTTGGAAATGGTGATGAGACACAACAGTCTCACACAAGTTACATGTGATGTGGAAACTGTTTCAAAACATCAACTGCAAACAAGGTTTCCAGCTTTGACTGCAACACATGCAGCAGTGAGAACTTTGTGTCACAACGGTAAATGTGATGAAATACAAAAGCTTAATGTCCTTAAAGAGCCCCAAACTCCTGTTTACTCCAGAACAGTCATTCAGAAGAAAAAAAAACAAAAACAAAACAAAACACTGGAAGTACAGGGAAACAAACTGTGGCAGTCAGAGACATCTGCAGTTTCTTCTTAAACTTACCCAGCTCATAGGGCAGAGGCTCTTGTAAACCTTCTGGTACCACTCACATGGAGAAACTTCCTGGCCTTTGGCTGACAGAGCTTTGTTGCACCTGTGGAAGTCTGCAAGAACAAAAAGGGTACAGGGTTTACTTAAATGATAAAAGTCTTCTTGAAGACAAATAGTACCGGCATGAAGCAAAACTAAGAGCTCATTGTGAAAACAGGTTAAAGCTTTTCTGTTTACATAAAACATCATTTTAAACTGAACTGGTGTTTACATTGCTGAAGTACCTAATATGAACACTGATGCTCGGAGGAGGGGAATATGTCTTTTTTGTCCTTCTCAATGGCTTCTCTTCAGGATTTGTTTGATATGTTTCAACTTCCTGAATAACAATTCCTATTGTCTGTCCAGTGCACCAGCTGCTGTTATTGCACTGATTTTTATCTATTTTTTTTTAATCTAACACATTTATCTGAAAAAAAGAGAACACAGAAAGATAACAGCCAGAAAACAATCAGGTTAGAGTGTTAATATTAAGTAAAGTTTTGTTATGGTTTATTTACAAAAAGGTTTAAAGTCCACATCTGAGAGCGAGTGAACTTTTAAAGAATGTTTGGCGGTCTTGTCACCAAGTCAAGTATCTTTTACTTAACATACTCGCTCTTCATTAAAAAAAAAAAAATCCTTTCAGGATTAATTTAAGTACTTAATCGCTAAGAAATTTGTTTTTACATATCAGTTAAAAAAAAACATAGCAATCCAAGTATAACATATAGCATATCATTATACTTGGATGGATTGTGTTACACAGTGATGGCATAGTGATACTAGTGTAACATTGGGCTTTATAATGTATACTTTGTGAGACTCATATAGGGAAGTTTGAAAATTATGCATGAATTAAGAGTACCAATTCCAGTCATCAGTCTCTCCCCCTCCATTTATTTATATTTTGCTTCCAAGGAGTCAGACTCTGTCATTTTTAAAGTTGTCTTGAGTAACAGTTCTGCAGCCTTTCTGAAGACCTTTCAAAGTTTCTTTTGACATTGGCTGCTTTTCATTATTAGTCCAGTCCTTGTACATGAACATTTCCAGAGGAATATTTTTTTGGTTTCTTTGTTTAGCCAACGAACACTGACCTATAAAAGCATTAAAAAGGTCAAGGGAGGAACCAGTGTTGCATCCACACATAACAACAACTCAGCAAAGAACCAATTTCAGATTGCATTTTTGGCACTTTGTTACTAGCACCACTCACTGATTCCCATTTTTAAAGTTACATCTAAGAACCAGACCTTTTAAATTTTCTACTATTTTCTACAGCAAATAACCAGTATCATGTCCTTGAGAAAGGAAACATCAAACAAAGACCTGGCAGATGCATCTGGACCGACTGTCAACAAGGGACACATTGGGGGGGGGAAGCGTATCATTTTTTTAACCTTAAATACTGTATTTCCGTGTTTGTTTACATGTTCCAATGAACTGCTCACATTTCCCATTTCCATAGCACAAAGTAAAGAAATAAAAAGTGTTTTTGCACAGTACTAAAATTAGCCCCATACGCGCATGTGAAGTGCATGTCCTGTTGTGTTAAGACAGTTCTGGTCGGGTTAATGTATGATAATGTGTGATCACAGCAAAGCAATCCTCACCCAGGTAGTTTTGGAAGCAGTTTCGGGTCTGGTTGGTGTTTGGGAATCGGGCGTCAAACGGAGCCGTCTTGTAGTTCTTGATCTTATCTGACACGGCTTCGGCCATTTTTCTATCCTTCAGTCAGTGGGAGGTTTAAACGATGTTGAAACAGGGCACGGCCTAGGTTAGCCTGCAGGGGAAACAGAAATAAAAAGGTGTAAGACAAACGAGACATTTAACTAGTGTTAGCTATCACAGAGGGAACAACGTTAGTTAACCGAGCTACTAGACGTTTACAGTCTTATTGTTACTAATTCAGATACACACAAATTACATGTTTTGAGTATATAAATCTATTGTCATAAGCACACAGGTCGGTATACAAATGAGCCCAGTCAACGTAATCACACAAAATAACTCAGGCAATAGGTTATCGCTAGCCGTTAGCTCAAAGCTAACGAGTTAATCTGTGTGTATACGGCCGTAATTAACACGCAGCACTTAAACCGTTTTAAACGACAAAAAAACGCTGGAAAGACACCTTTAAAGGTTCAAAAAGTTAGGATTAGAACAGCATACTACGAAGTTACGAAGCTAACCTTGGGACGCTTCTTCAACGTGTCCTCTCTAGAAAAAATTGTCCTTCCTCTCCGACGCGCAAGGCACGCTGGGATATCGCCGTAATCAAATCCGTCCTGTTTATTTACGACAGCGTTTAATCTTTAACAGTCACATATTTGTATAATAATTGTATTTATGTTTTTTTCAGAGGTAAAAAGTTAACATACAGCGAAATAAGAAGTGTCAAGGGTCAATGAAGAAGTTTATTATATATTTATTTATTTGCTTCCCCCCGTGTGACCTCCGGATTTGTTGCTGCTTGAGGGAAAGCGGTGGTTTTCATTCTGCGACATAATATTTCCAGATTTTGGATCAAAAGATGACCTCACCTTCTTGCCTTTAAGGCTGTTTGGTTCCAAGTCACTTAGACCTCAGATTAAATCAATGCCAGACCCCAGATATCCTTAAAAAAATCAGATACATTCCTGTGTTTCTGCTCTTAATTTGTACCCATATTTTGCTGCCCCCTCCCAGAGTTTCCGACACTGTGACATGATAAACAGAAGAAAATATGTAACCTATTAAGAGCAAATTTTTCAAAGCATAATCTTAACCCAGTATTATTATTTTATTTTATTTTTTTGGTGACGTCTTCTTCTTTTAATGTCTTGGTTGCTCTTTGATATCTTGCATATATACCCACTAAATACTTCACTACTTATATGTTGCTAGGGTTGGGCTCCCTTTGATTCAACAAGGTGCTGGAAAAATTCCTCAGAGAGTCTGGTCCACATCGTGATGACAGCATCACACAGATCCTGCAGATTTGTCAGCTGCACGTAGGTGATGTGAATCTCCTGTTCCACCACATCACAAAGGTGCTCTATTTGAGATCTGGTGACTGTGGAGGGCATCTGAGTACACTTGAACTCATTGCCATGTTCAAGAAGCCAGTTTGAGATGATTAATTGAGCTTTGTGATGATTTGACCAAGGTGTGTTATCCTGCTTGAAGCATCCATCAGAAGATGGGTAGACTGGTGTCTTAATAGGATAGACATGGACACGGCGTTTAAATGATGATCAGTTAGTACTAAAAGGTCTAACGTGTCCCAAGAAAACATCTGCCATATTGCAACAGCAGCAGCATGAACGATTGATACAAGGTGTTCTTTCATGTTGTTTACACCAAATTCTGATTTTACCATGAATGTCGGAGAAGAAATTGAGACTTATCAGACCAAACAATATTTTTCCAATCTTTTGTGTTCTAATTTTGTTGTAAACTGTAGCCTCAGTTTCCTGTTCTTATCTGACAGGAGTAGCACGTGTTGTGGTGATTTGTTGCTGTGGCTCTTCTGCTTCAAGGTTGACATGTTGTGCTTTCAGAGATGCTTTTCTGCATATCTTGGTTGAGAAAGGGCCTTCCTATCAGCTCAAAGCAGTCTGGCCATTTTCTTTCGACCTCTGACAAGAAGGCAGCAAAGGATGTTCACCCAGAGAGCTACTGCTCACTGGATATTTTCTCTTTTTTTGGACCATTTTCTGTAAACCATAGAGATGGTTGTGTGGGAAAATCCCAGCAAATCAACACCTTCTGAAATATTTAAAATCATTTAACCCCCTTTTCACATTTTCTTCCTCATTCTGATGCTCAGTTTGAACATCAGCACCACATGCACTAACAAGCAGTTGGACAGGTGTGCCTAATGAAGTGACCGGTGAGCATAGGTAATACATACAGTACTCCTCTGTTTCGCAAACAATACGAAATTTTCATATCACTTCACTGGTAGTGACAATAACAGGAAATTTAACATTTAATCATAAGTAATATATTATTTTCTCTTTTAGTCATGGTAGGAACTTGGAAATGGTGGAGGAGTCTTTGTAATGGGACAAACTTTATTAGCCCTTTATGATGACTGTGACAGTGTCCTTTCTCTTTCCATCAACATCTTCCTGTTGAAGACCAGGTCAAAGATCACAGGTGTCTCGCTCTAGCTTCCTGTCTCACTGTGTGCATTTCCTTCATCCTCTTTTCAGCAAAACTTCAAACTTCCTTGCATTTTGTTGAGCACTGTGATAGTCTTTCTCATCATAAATCACATCACAGTACCTGGTTTAAATCAAAAATAGTCTTTTAAACCCATTAAGGCTTTTTCATATAATTTAGCTTTATTCTGTGACATTTTCATTTAACTCAGATGGGCAAAAAGATAGATATCGAGATTGTTTTGTGCAGAGTACAATACAGTATATTATATTCCCAGCAGGGTGCCAAACACCCATGTGTGTGTTTGTGTGTGTAAATTTACCGTTCTCTCACTTCTACCAATCTCTGCCTCTCTTTCTCACTCAGTCAGGATATAGGTGTTGTCCAAAGCAAAGGAAGGAAATTCTGTCACTTAGAACAATGGGTTGGTTTCTCTATCTATAGACCCAGAGCGCCCGAGAGCCAGAGAGGGAGGTAGCAGCCACTTAGAGTAAAAAACTAATGTAAAGGGGCATTTTCTTTAACAGAAGAAAAAAGAATTATTAGAATTAAAGATACCTTTGTCCATTTTTAAGGAGCCGAGGCCTTTAGAAAATGGATTTTCATCCTGAGGAGAAGGACGAGCGCACATTTTTTAGGGTACTTTGAGCTGCGCATTGGCATTTTGGTGGATAATCAAAACACACTATAAAAAGGATTTGAAGTAACTGTGGGTAAGTTTGTTCAAAACCAAATAATTTGAGTAATTTCTTTCTTGTAGTATTTAGAATTCTGTGAAAATATCCCAACATGGTTTTCTAGGAGAGGAGGCCTTTCTGCCTAGAATACCAATAACAGATTTTAGGTGTGGACGCATGTCGAGAAATGGCGTGTCTGAGGGAACAACTTTAAAAAGGAACTCATTTTCAACACAGTACTAGCCATTATCTCAAAATTCTAATCGTAGCTAAAAGAAAACATGTTATCCTAAATTGTGATGGTAGGTTAAATAGAAGTGTTACAGAGAATTGGACAGGCAGTGACCTTTGGAGTGGGTTTTTCCCTGTCACTGCGACAGCTGGACCTGAGTCCTACAAAACACACTTCCTGTTTGAGGATAGGAAAACACATTGGGATTTTCAGGGGCTGTAGGGAGGGCTAATGCCTTTTCATTTGTTTTTACCATGTTGACAACCTGCTGTAGGTATCCTGTTGATATTTTTGAAGGTTGACATCATTCCATTGTTATATTGTTTATATCCTGGCACTGGTGACACACAGCCTTTGGTATGGTGCAGAGAAATATTATTAAGGGAAACCTAATGTTTATATATCTTATAAAAAGATGAGTTATTAAGTTGATTTTAGAGAGAATTGCCCTTTAATATCTGAATTCTTCTCGGTCAGATGGAGGGATCTGGCAGTCCTCGATTCAGAAAACTCCATTTCCCAGTGGGTTTGTGGATCAACTCCCCCAGGAAACACTTTGCAAAGCTTGGTGGTCGTTGGCCCAGCGCGCTCTCTGTCAAGTTGGTCTAAACTTCTTTAATTCGCTTTTTTTAAATTAATCTTTAGTTTTGTTCCAACTTGTGTCCTGCATGTAGAATTAGTTTGTGTATTGATCTTATCTTATCTTATCTCACTTCCACTGTCATTTGTATTCATGTCTTCCATTTATTTTAGTCCTTGTTGTTTGTCAGTCATAACTCACAGCTGACTTGTCCCTTCCTTTCTGCTTCCTCTCTCCTCCATCTGTCTTCCCTCCTCTGTTGTTTCCAGGTCGACTACCAGCTCTGACGCAGCCTCTCTCCACGAGGCCCCCTCTGCTCCTTCCTCTTCCCTTTCTAACTCCACCCCCTCGCTGGCTTCCCCTACCCCATCCCCATCTCCTTCCCCGGCCTTCCTCAGGCCGCGGCCTGCTGCACCCCAGTCCCGTGCTAAGCGCCTTTCCCATCTCTTCTTACGGGGGCGTTCCAACAGTGACCGGGACCGGGCAGTGGGAGAGAAGGAGAGAGAAGTTTGGGCTCATTCGGCAGCCCCCTCCTCCCACCACTACTTGCCCCCTGCTTCTTCCTCTGCCCCAGGCCTGATCAAAATCTATGGAGATGCACTCTCCAGTGGAGCCAATTATCGCTCCCTGCTGGCCAACATACACTCCACAGCCAGGCAACTCATTGCCCAGGTCATCACTCGCTACACTGAAAGAGAGCGGGAGGAGACAGATGACGCAGGTATGAAAGGGAAATTTTGGCTCATTTGGACCTCTGCTGCGATCCATGACTAGGAATTGTTTGCTTAAAATTTTTTTACCAATTGGGAATGACTTTATATAAACATAAATAGCAGTGTTATGGAAAAATAATTACCCTCCCCCTCATTCCCCCTTTCCTCCATTACTTTCTAGTTCTCCAGAAACACAGCCCTGAAGACTTCCTATTGTGTGATGTCATTGGAAAGCCCATCCAGCAGCCAGATGGAGCTATCAAATGGGAGACAGAGTGCCGGAGAAGCGTTGCCCCGTGGGAATGTCCTTTGTTGTTAGTGGACATGTGGCGGCCTAAGGATGGATTTGAGCGGCGCTTTGAAATCCAAAGGAAGGAAGACTATGAGAGAGAAGAGTTAGAGAGGGAGAAGGAGCGTGAGAGGGAGGGAGAGAACTACCAAGGTACGTATGAGATGCAGCAGATAGGTACAGTGGCAAGAAAAGAAAAAATTGACCATTTATGCACAGCACAGGGCAAAGCTGATTGATACTTGGGTTGTCTGGGCAACAGGTGTGCGCTGGCGGCGGAGCAGGATGTCATCAGGTGGCGGAGCAGAGGAGGGCGAACGGGGTCACCGTGGAAGGAACACAGAGCTGAGGAGGAGCATCAGCGACATGAACCTCAGTCTGCGACGTCGCCAAGGCAATCACGTCAGCAACGACCCCCGCGGTTCTGGAAACCGGCCTAACAACAGCGCAGGGGTGCATGACAGAAAGAACATTGTGAGCATGATCAACCCACAGCCAGGAGAGGTAAAGAGAAGGCTGCAGTAAGTAGAAGCTGAACTGACCACACGTTCGGTCTTCTAACCATCATAAACCATTTCTGCAGATCAGGGCGTCGAAAGCTGAAGGGAAGGTTGGATGGACAAACCAGCCGGCAGAGGATGAGAAGGATTATTCCAGCTGTGA